TCTGCTGGCTCAATCTCGGACCCTAAAATGGGGTCTCCTCAAACTAAAATCGTCCCAACTACATCTACCACAACATCTCCCTCAACTGTTGCCCCCCTCTGTCACTAAAAGACCCCCATCTACTCCTGTGTTACCAACCCTCCCTCCTTCTGGTCTCACTAAACACCTCTCTCTTCCTTCCTCATCCCCACTCCCCTCCTTTCATTTTACTCCTGAACCACTCCAAAAACCAGCTCTAAAGAAATCCAAATCAAATCCCACTCTAAACTCTCCTCCTGAACAATCTTTTCCCCGAAACTCTTTTGATACCCCCTTACCCTTAACCTTATAATCTGTTAAAACCTCAAACCCTTTTTCTTCTTTGACCGCTGATTTGGCTTTTCCACTTGTGGGAGAGTCCCTTTTACCCCAATGAGTGCAAAACTCTTTTTTTTGGAATGTTCGTGGTTTGAATGACTCGGACAAGCACTCTTCTTTTTGTCAATGGCTTAATAGTATGTCGCCCATTTTTGGTACTCTTTTAGAAACCCACATTAAAGATCATAGCTTGAACCCTCTTATGTCAAAACTGTGCCATGGATGGGATTTCGCTTCTAATCATGCTTCTGATGAGGATGGCAGGATAATCGTAATCTGGAAACACCCTGCTCGTGTAAACCTGCTTCATCAAAGCCGTCAAACTCTGACCTATGAAGTTATTCTACCAGGCTGCAGCCCCTTTATTTACACCGCAATCTACGCTTCTAATGAAAGAGCTGAAAGAAAAGATTTGTGGCAGGATCTGACTGACCTCTCTATTGCTTATTCACTGCACTCTGTCCCGTGGATTGTTGGTGGAGACTTTAACGAAATTCTTCACCACTCTGAGCATTCTCTGATGGCAGTCAACACTATCTCCTCTCATATGGAAGACTTCAGTGACTGTATTCGAAATATTGGTTTCTTCGACCTTCGGTTTCAAGGGCCTCTTCACACTTGGTCGAACCACCAACCTAAGTCTCCCATAGCCAAGAAACTTGACCGGCTTCTCGTCAACTCTCATTTTGTCTCAGCTTTTCCTAACAGCATAGCCTTTTTCCTCCCTCCCCTTACCTCTGACCACGCCCCCTGCCTTATTGATCTTTCTCATGAACTTCCTGTAGCTGGGACTAAGCCTTTCCGTTTCTTCAATTACCTTACTAAGCATCCGCAATTTCTCCAGCTGGTTACTGAGACTTGGAACCAGGCCGGAAGCATGGCTGTTAACCTTACTAAACTGTGTTGGAAATTAAAGAGCGTCAAAGGAGTGCTTAAAAATCTGAATAGAGAGAATTTTTTCACAAATACAAGTGAGGGTTAGTGAGGCTAACCGTTTGTTGCAAGTTGTGCAGGTACAAGCATTACAAGACCCGTCAGGAGGAAACTTTGAACCAGAACGTGAGGCGCCTCACAAGTGGTTGTTCCTGAGACAGATAGAAGAGTGCTGCTTTAGACAGAAGTCAAGGGTAAATTGGCTGAAGGAAGGTGATCTGAACATGGCTTACTTCTTTAGAGTGTTTCAAACTAGGCTCAATTACAACTCCATCCGCTCTTTCCAGCTGTCCACGGGTGAATTTATCTCTAACCCTTTAATCATGAGCCAGCTTACCATTAGACACTTTAAAAGTATCTTGGGACCAGACTTGTTGGAACCTCTGCAGCTCCATTCCCCTCCAAGTTGGTTCCTGGAACTAACAGAATTCACATGTCCGTCGGAACTGCTGCAGCAAATGACGTCGATCCCCTCCGAACTAGAAATTTCAAGAGTCTTGTTGAAGCTCAACCCCAATAAGGCGCCAGGGCCTGATGGTCTTACGTCTGGTTTTTTAAAAGCTACTTGGTCGTTACTAGGTAATGAAGTTGTCAGCTCCATCACTGATTTATTTCAGAATTCCTTCTTACCTGCAACAACGAATGCAACAATTTTAACCTTGGTCCCGAAGAGGCTTGGTGATACACTGATTACGGACTACAGGCCTATTGCGTTGCTAAACACTCTCTACAAGGTAATCTCTAGACTGCTAGTGAGACGCCTAAAGCCAATCTTGTCTTCCTTTATTGTGCCAAATCAAAACACTTTTGTTTAGGACAGACTTCTACTTGAAAACACTATACTAGCTGGAGAGCTTATCAACGGATATCATAAAAGGGTAGGCCCGAAGAGAATCACTATAAAGGTTGATATAGCGAAGGCATTTGACACTATCTCGTGGGAGTTCCTATTTAATTGTCTCCAAGGAATGGGCCTTCCTGAGATGCTCATCACATGGTTAAAAAATGTATCTGCACTACTAACTTCACCATCGGATATAATGGACGATTTCAGGGTTATTTCAAAGGAAAAAGGGGCTTAAGACAGGGAGATCCCTTATCTCCCTATGTTTTTGTTATAGCTATGAATGTTCTCTCAGTGATGCTTAATAGGGCAGCGGTGGAATCCAAAATCAAATACCATCTCAAGTGCGAAACCTCAAAGCTCACTCACCTTTGCTTTGCCGATGATCTCCTCATATTTATCGATGGATCGCTGGATTCGGTCCAAAATGTGCTTCATGTCTTGCGTGAGTTTGAGAGAAGATCAGGTCTGGCGGTGAGTGTTCAAAAGTCCTCCTTTTTCGCTTCTGGTTTGACCCAACAGGAACTTGACACCATCAAAGCTTCCACGGGAATGCCTCAGGGTTCGCTTCCTGTCCGTTATCTCGGAGTACCTCTTTGCACAAAAAAAATTATCGTTAGCCAATTGTGAGGTGCTTCTCCAGCAAATAAAAGGGAAGATGACATCATGGAGCGCAAAATCTTTGTCATTTGCTGGTAGGCTACTTCTACTGAAGACAGTAATAGCGGGCATAAACAACTTCTGGTGTTCAACTTTCCTCTTACCTAAAGAGTGTATAAGGCGTATCAACTCTATGTGTGGGTTATTCTTATGGAAGGGAAACCTTGATGGTTCCCCTAATGCTAGGGTGGCGTGGGAGGTAGTTACAAGGAATAAGAGTGAAGGTGGATTAGGGATAAAGGACTTGGGGATCTGGAACAAAGCTTGTTGTCTTAAACTAATTTGGATGTTGTTCTTTCAATCAGGTTCGGTTTGGGTGGCGTGGTATCGGAATGAGGTTCTCAATGGAAGTTTGAACAACTTTTGGACTGCTAAAGTTAGTCCCAGGAATTTGTGGCTTGATAACAAACTGATTAAGCTGAGAGGAGAGATGTTTACCTGGATCAAAATTCGTATTGGCAATGGAAGAAACTGTCGATTCTGGACTGATAACTGGTCACCTTTCGGATCTCTAGACGCATACCTCCAAAGAAACACTAACTCGAGGTTTGGTATCCCTCTCACTGCAACACTATCAGACATAAATGTAGGAGGCTCTTGGCTTCTCCCTCCAGCACGATCTGATCAGCAACTAAACCTATATGTACATATGACTGATGTAAACCTCACTGATGAGGAAGATGGCTATGAGTGGGTTCTCGATGGTAAACCATCCAAAAGGTATGTCACAGGGGATGTGTATAAGAAACTGAAAGGTGAAGGTGTTTTCTTACCATGGACCAGACTCGTTTGGATTTCTGGTGGAATCCCTAAGCACTCCTTCCTCACGTGGCTGTTTGTGCTTGATAGATGTCCAACTCGGGATCGATTATTAAAGTGGGGTCTGCAAACTGATCCCTTATGTCTTCTCTGCAACTCAGCAAATGAAACCCGCAACCATTTATTCTTCTTCTGTCTTTATGCCTGGAGTCTCTGGAATCAAGTATCTCTGAGGTGTGGCGTGAATCCTTATCAATCTTGGGATGATACTTTAAATCACCTGCAGTCTCTGTTGATAAACAAATACAGGAAGAGGGTTATTTTGCTTGCTTGGCAATCAACGATCTATTGGCTATGGAATGAAAGGAATGGTCGTTTACATCGTAATGCTTTCAGATCGATGGATGCTTTGTTTCGGTTGCTGGACCGAAAACTAAAAGACAAATTTCTTTCCCTGTGTGATTCAAACCCTCAAGCTTCATCTGAGCTCATGCAAGTTTGGCTCTGATTTCTCACGGGTGATCGATTTTCTTTGGTTTCTCCGTCTCTTCTTTCCCTAACTAGGCCTTGGCTTGGTTCACTATAATATTTTGTAATGGGTTTAGTTTTTAACTGGCATTGGGCCGTAGGACTATAGTCCTCTGAACTTGTAACCTTTTTACATTTCCTTTGCAATTTTAATATGAAAGCCATCAGTCAAAAAGAAAAACCCAAGAAAACCATGTACTCTGAGCCGAATCTTGTTATTCTTTCTATAATGAGTTATTGAGTGTCTTGAACTTTTTGACTATGACTGACTGAAATTTATCGACCTGAAAATGTATATCCCGAGTAGTTTATTTATTTATTTATTATTATGCACAGCATGGGAGAAACTCGAAGAAATATTCACGTAGTTGCCTTAAACAAATATGGTGACAATTCTTATACCATGTACTATGTGGCTAACATGTTTTCGTTCTCATTTTCCCCAAAAAAAACTGTCGGTCCATTTTACCAAAAATCAAAACAATTTTCTTTTGCTTGATTAATTTTACAAGTAAAATAAAAATGCTAACCGATTTATTATATGAAACAAGCTTTTTGACAAAGTATATGAACCAAGCTTTAAAACAAATTTAGCTGAATGTTAAATTTACGGGAAAAGTGTTCCAAAATAAAATGATAAACTTACTGAGAAAAAACATTACCTAAATGATACTTTATATGTAGGTTGAAAGACTAAATTATATGTTTATATATATGCTGGCATACTTAATCATTTATTATAACAAGTAATTAAAAATCGTTAGTGTAAGACTACCACGTCCATAATGGGACTCCACGAACCTCTAATTCACTCGTTTTCTAGAATCTCACTCTCTCTATATAAACACCAATCTCCGAGCATATTCAAACCATCTGAGAACATCTGCTATTAAGAAACAACAACAACTGAGCATAAAAAATGGCAGCTCTTGCGACAAAACAGTCTCTCTTGTTGCTGTTGTCGTCTCTTCTGCTCTTGATCGGTGTATCCACCGGAAGTTTCTACGACAACTTCGATATCACATGGGGGGATGGTCGTGCCAACATATTTGAGTCTGGAGAGCTCTTGACATGCACTCTCGACAAGATCTCTGGCTCAGGTTTTCAATCCAAGAAAGAGTATCTATTCGGAAAGATAGATATGAAGATGAAACTTGTTGCTGGAAACTCAGCAGGAACAGTCACTGCTTACTACGTTCGTAAATATCAACGTTTATCTCATTTTCTCGTTAAAATTTTGGTTGTATGATTTCTAGTTTGACATTAAGGATAATGTTTTCACAGCTTTCCTCTAAAGGCGAGACATGGGATGAGATAGATTTCGAGTTCTTGGGTAATGTTACAGGACAGCCTTATGTTCTCCATACGAATGTGTTCACAGGAGGTAAAGGTAACCGTGAAATGCAGTTCTATCTCTGGTTTGATCCCACCGCGGATTTCCACACTTACACCGTCCTTTGGAACCCTCTCAACATCATGTAAGTTCAACATAATGTTTTTATACATCGTTCCTTAGAATCTTGAACTGATCCATGACGGTTCTTGATTTTCTTGATATCTCAAAAGCTTTCTTGTGGATGGAATCCCGATCCGGGTGTTCAAGAACAACGAGGCTCACGGTGTGGCTTACCCGAAGAGCCAACCAATGAAGATATATTCGAGTCTATGGGAGGCTGATGATTGGGCTACGCAGGGCGGTCGAGTCAAGACGGATTGGAATAATGCTCCATTCAGCGCTTTCTACAGGAGTTTCAATGATGTGGACTGTTGTAGCCGGACTTCAATATGGAACTGGGTTACGTGCAATGCGAATAGCAACTCGTGGATGTGGACTACACTTAACCCCAATCAGGTTGGACAGATGAAGTGGGTGCAAGATGATTACATGATCTATAACTATTGTACTGATTACAAGAGGTTCCCTCAAGGTCTACCCACGGAATGCAACCTCGGCTGATCGTGTTACCGAGAAAATTCAAGCATTTGATGCAATTTCTTTCTTTCTTTCTTTCTTTCTAATTTGAGCTCATGATTTGTTGATTTGATTCAGTTATTCTTTTGAGTTTCTAAGCTGTGTTTCCCTTACTGGGACATTGATTTTTTTTTTCTGTCATAATTTCATTAATGTGATTACACTGTTGATTTCCCGTATATCTAAAATAGTAGTAAAATTTGATTCAATCTTTAACCAGACCAACCTGAGAATAGAACAAAGAAACAGAGTTTTCTGTCATAACACAGAGCAAAACCAGAGTATTCTGTTATCAAACAGAGCAAATAACATAACTCTTATCTAATAACCACGAATGTGGCAGTTCAGTTGGTTTAAGTGCAGGCGTCATTGTTATTGTGCTTCTGAATTTGATCCACCGTGGAAGGAATGTTTTATGCCATAAATGGTATTAGCAAAAGCTGACTCCGGCTCTAAGAATAGATGACAAAATTTATCTGTTATATTTTTCTTCACCTTAGGCCTTGAGCTCTTTAACTCAAATAAACCCATTTTCAAACTTGAAATCAGAATTAAATACACGTTTACAAAATTCAGCTATTTAGGAAATATACTTTAAATATAATTAACCACCCAAATTATAATAAATTAAAAATGATTCAAATATATTATAGTATTTAATTTTTTTTTTTTTAAAACATCCAAAACATATTAGCATTTTGAAATAAAAAATAGTTACTACAAGAATACAAAAAAGAATATTTGGTGAAAAATATTTACCAATAAATAATATAACTACCGTCCAAAAGATAACCATTCAATTTATATCTATAATTTGGTTTGGTGATAATCATTCAATTTTTTAATAATGAACTATATTAATAGAAGTGTAATATTTTACTTCTAATCACTTTGCATGTTTGAAAATTAGAATAGTTACATTAAATGTAACGATTTGATTTTTTATTGAAATATATAGTAAGCCAATGTTAATAATAGAGCCTAGTGTAGTTCCAAACATAAGTATTCATTATTCAATCCAAGCCTTACACATATTTCATGACTAGCAAATTAAACAAGCTTATATATTAAAACAGAAGTCATAACTTCACTTCACGTGTGATATTTTTTAAATTTGGATCATCATTTAATTTTTTTATTAAATGTATTTTATTAAGAATAGTAATATCTTTTGATTTCTTTTCATTTTAAATATAAATATATTTATTTAAAAATTCTAAAAACTGTTTTAAAAGATTTTTACAAGATCTTCATTTTTAATATTATCTTTAAATATTTGCATTAATTTTAAAAATAGTTTGAAATATTATTATACAATAATATATTCAGTTAAAGTATATAAAATGAAAAATTAAAATTTATAACATATTATCTATTATATAATAATAATCAATCATATTAAAATAAAAATATTATATTAAGCTAAATATAATAAAACTATATTAAACTGATAAATTTCGTAAGTCTAAAATATTTATGCTCAAAAATAAAATCTAATATGTTGGTAAAACGGGTTAACGTTAGCAAACTATATAATACATGTATATAAATTAACATGTATTTCATTAAAGTTAATAATATGAAATCTTTGTAAGTACTTTAATCATGATTTCTTTTCATTTTAAAAATTCTCATAAATCTATGTAAAAATATTTTTACAATAACTTAATGTATTTTAAGTTATCGTTTATAAAATGAAAAATTTAGATTATATCTTATTTTATTTACTGTAGTAGATATGGATATGTGTGTTGAGCTAGTATCATGTCACTTTTGCAACTGATTGTATTCAATTGGTAAAGATAGTTTTGGAACCAGAAGAATGGCCAGCTTTTGCAAATTATTTGGAGGATATTAAGATGCTCAAGGAAAACTTTCACAACTCAAATATCATCTACGTACCAAGAACGCATAATTTGCGGGCGGATAATGTAGCATGCACTGCCAGGAAATAATTGTCTTTTGTCGTTCACGTGGATGCAGAGCTCCTGGTTTGGATCGCAGAGTCAACATGAGTCTGTTATAAGTCGATGTCAATATATATATATATATATATGTATGAATGAAAATATATATTTTTAATGTCTTTTAAGTTAAACCATATACCATATAAAAATACACAATATGTTAATTTCAGAATTTACATTGAAAAGGTATTGAGACATGAATATTTCAATTTTGAAATTTGCATTAAATATTTTGAAACGATTATAAATTACTAAAACTATTAAAACTATCATACTTAAAATTTTGTGATTAATAGTTTAATGTTTTGTTAGAAAAATATACTATGTTAATAAAATCATATGAATAGGAATTAAGAAGATTCAATTAAATTTTGATATTAAATATACAATATATCTGGGTCAATATCATTTAAATTTAATAATATCATATAAACTAAATAAAATAATTGTTCTAATATAATTACTTGATTTTATGTGTTTATTCTACCTTAATTATATATATATATATATATATATATATAATATTTACTTGTTTCACAGTTATTTAATATATTTATTATTTTATAATATAAAAAATAATATGTAAAAATAATTTATATACATAATGTTTATTCCGCGAATCTTCACTTAGTAATTGGATAAAAAAAAGAACAAGGTCACTTAGGGCGCGGTCCGAAATTCTGAGTCAGACCCTACTGATTAAGAAACAGAAAAATAACAAAGGTGGAACAGAGATAAAGAAACTATCCTTAATTGACTTGTTGTATTACCCTTATACAGTTTAACTCTTAATAAGAATGTTGTTAAAAAAAAAAAAAAAAACTATCCTTAATGTTGATTTTTTCTTGTGGATTGTTTGGACTTGGTGAAATTAATGTTCAAGACGGTAGTTATGTTTATTAGGAGATTAATGCATAGTAAGGCATCTAAACGCAGCTTATACCGATTTTTGTGAGAAAAAGTTGGTTTACAAAAGTATTTCGTTTATGACCTACTAGGGCCAGCCCGCCCTACGGGCGGGATATATTTTACTTGTGATCTAGGTTACTATTTTTTATATGATTTTGTGGTTTGTGTTTTAGGTTTTCATATGCAAGAATTATGTGTGATAAGGATGTTTGTCTTTTAAAAAGTTTAAGGTAAGAATGAATTATATGTGGTAAAATCTACTTTATTTGTTTATAATAGTTGTTTTTATAGTAAAGAATTATGGAATTGATATGTTGTGAGCGTTATGGTTGTCATGTTGTTTCTTTTAAAAAAATTCTGATTCCATATTCGATGTCAAAATGGTTTTTTTCTTTCTAATATTAAGTTTTTTTATAAATTAAGTAAATATTTTATTTTATCTCACACACTGATTTTTAGAGTCCGAATTGAACGGTTTTGAGATATTTTAAATTCTCTTTGTTTCAATTAAAATTAAAAATAAAGAAATTTACACTTATTAATCATTTTATCATATGTTTAAAGAGCATCCTAGACAGTGATCCTTTGTGGAACCTCTATATGTGCATAACATAGTAAATTATAAAGTTTTCTTTTTTAGAAAAAAAACGTTTTCTTTTAATTTTCTAAATTATCACCTCTATCTATTTTATAACATTTAATTTCTGCAATTACCTCTTTAAATACTTGGCATGCAGATTTGGCTACTTAATTAACTATGATATTTCCATTATTAATGAAGTTTTTTGTTCTAAAAATATATAATACAGTTAATAGTTCTACAATTATAAAGGTTGGATGAGGTACGTGGTCTTCTGGGTATATGTTTTTATTAATTATCAGTTTTATAGAATTGTTTATTTTTAAAGTACCTTTATTTCTAATTATTATTAAAATTTAATACATTGTTGGGGGGGGAATAATGTTGTTTACTCGGTCGTTCGTAGAGAAATTTGTAACTATTAAAATAAGATTTTATTTGAGAATAAAATTAAGATGTTGAGATTTTAGATAGAGATTAGAAATATAGATGAATGAAATCTACTTCTTTCTTTTTAATGTACGTTTAAAAGAGAGAATGTCAATACTAAATCTGAGTAAGTAAAATAAAACTAATAGTGTTCACCTATGGATGGAGATGAATTTATTGTCCAAACTAACCAATATTCTTCACATTTATATATATTTTTGCGCCAATCTCTTATACACTATGTGTAGATTAATTATAAAATTTAAAATATACAAAATCATAGGAATAAGGACAATGAAGATGAAGAATAGCGCCGAAGGTTTTTTTTTTATAACACTTAGCTTTATTACTTTTAACATTAGTTTACATAATCATTGTGAAGCAGATCAGATATACAATAGGGAACAAAATAATGAAATAGAAAATTATTAGAATCTTGATATATTTGTTTAGCCAACTTGTCTGCTACCATGTTGGAAGATCGATCAGACCAAACAAATTTGACATCTCCCACTTTGTTTTTTCACCATTGTATCTCTCGTTTCCAGTTATAGCAATGGAAATGAAGCTTGCAATTATTCAATATCTCCACTGCTTTTTGACAATCAGATTCTATTATCACCTTTTTGTATCCATTACTCTATGCATGTTGAATGCGCCGAAGGTCTATCCATCAAAGAGGCCAAAGGTCAGTTTATCATCTATTTTTCTTTTTTTTTTCTTATCTTGCTGTAAGTAGTTGATTATTTTGTCTATGCAATATGCCTAAAAGATCAGAACTTTTCTCCACTCTAAGAAGCTTGAGCTTATTGCGTCTAAACCAATGTGAAGGTTATTGTTATTATTCTAACCATTGCAACTCTGTTGCTTCTCCTCCGTGTGCACAAATTCCAGAGGCCTCTTTGTTTATATTTCACCATTAGCTTAGATGCGTTTTTATTTGTTGAAACCCATGGAACCGCTGCTAAGTGAGATGTGGCATGGATTACAACTCCAGCTGAAATTCTTATTGCTAAAATGGTAAAACTTTTATAAGATTCAATCATACTGTATATTAAAGATATTTTCATCTTTTATACATTGGAGATAAGATTCAAAATATTCAATCAACTCCAACTCCAACTTACAGTTATTTGATATCGATCATCTATATATTAGAGATAAGTTTTTTTTAATAGTTAATCTAGATATCAAATTCATTAATTTAGATTAATTTCTGTAAATGTTTTTATGTTATTATATTTTATTTAAAAATATATTTTATATAAGTTTACATTGTTATATATTATTTCTTTGGTTCTCTTAGTTAAAATTTTATACTGATTTTCCAGAAAAATATTCTAAATATCATTGAAAATTTTAGAAAACAAAGTATTTGAAATGTCAATTTAACTTCCTTTAAAAAAATTTTCATTGATAATTTTTTGGATACTGATTTTCATTTTGCTTTAAGATATGAATTTTTGATATTTAAAAATTTAATTTAAATGTTTTTTATTTTTTCCTTGAATTAACCAAGATATCAAGCTAATTTTCTCATAGTTTTGTTTTTATGTTAATTTTATTCTGTTTCGATAAATTCAAAAAAAATTAAGTTACATATTTTTAAAGCGCAATTTATTTTTCAGTTTGTTTTCCTTTGATTTTATCAAAAGATTTTGTCAAAACATTAAACTCATTTTGTGGCAATATTAAATGAATCTTGTAGAGTAGCATTAAACAATCGAGGACAAACATGAATGTATAGATCACAGCAATAATTAATCAACTAACAGAAAAGCTTACTATATTTACAGAGCACTCAAATTTTTAAATAATTTCTGCATATATCTTTTTATTCAGATGTTGGCCTAGCCTATGCATTTTTGACTCAACGTCATTGTAAGCGACCAGTTGACAGCAATACAAATGATCTTATAATTAATTAATTAATTATTGTATACAATTAGTGTTAAGAGTCGTGAAGCTGTGTGCCCATTTCCAGACTTGCAATTGCCAACTCTCTTTCAAATTTTGTATTTGATCTTGCTCATGTTCCAAGATGTTAGACCAATGTTTGATCTTGCTCATGTTCGTAAAACATTAAACCAATGTTTGATCTGCACCTTGACTTTCCTGTCGCTAACATGTTCTACAACGTTCCCATCAGCATTACAGTATTCTCCATCTTTTCTCTGTCCTGACTAAAAGATTCAGTTCGGGCCATTGTTCAACAATGAGATAACTGCATTAGCATGATTTGTCCAAAAAGACATTACTTACTTGAAGGAACAATCACAAAACCAAACAAAAAAGGATTGCAAAAATCTTACCTATAAGTCTTCTCAGCGTCATAGATATCAATAAAGATCTCAGCAGTATTCTTATTGCAAATATGTACATGTGTCTCTTCCCCTAAGAGTACATTGTTGTGTCTCTTCATAGCTTGATATGCAGCACTTCTTCTCAGATACACAACTTTCACCGAACCCTTTACCACAAAGAAACGACGGTAAAAGACAAATAAACCAAAGGGAAAAAAACAGAACTTGAGACTTTTTTCCATACAAATCCATTCTGGTGAAGTCGTCTCACAGCGAAATCGTTAAAAACAAAATTTGACGTTGATGAATCTGCAGTAAGGAATGATAAAGAAATCCATAAGATATGATCAGAGCGATTAGGATGAAGACATCGATTGCAGTTGATCATGATCCTTCAGCAGCAGACTCGGAAGCTTGATGATGACTTCGTTATGCTCCTCGGCTTTTGATGATGAGAGCCCGCTGAGTTCGCGATGATAGATTGGTTGATAACAGAGATTGAGCTCTGGAAGTTTTTCTTGCTCGAGTAACCCTAAATCAATCTTCATCAAAATTAGGATCAATAAAAAAAACTTGAAATCAAATTCACCAATTGCAAAAAAAACTTGATAAAATATGATATTATTGGATTAGATGTGACGTAAAATAAATTGAAACACTTTTAAAATAAAACTGAAGTTCGAGAACCCAATTCGAAAATATTCATCAGATCCAATCGACAGTATACATAGAAACCCCAAGACGATTAGAACGAAATCAGAGGTGCAGAGATGAAAGCATCCTTGATCCAAAGTTGAGTGCCAATGGGAAGACCAAAAGATTCTATCGATGGATCAGAGATGACCGGTAAATTTGAAGTTCATGGGAGTAAGAGGATGAACCGTAAACATGTTTTGGAGTCGAGGAAGACAATAGCGTTTGGTCGCTTTCTGTCTTGTTGAGCATAAAAAAATCATAAAGCCCATTAATATTAAGTACAAAAGTTAATGAAACGCAGTGTATTTAGGGGAGGGACAGGTGTCGCATTGTGGGTGAACGATTTGATGACGTGGCAGAGGCAGGAGGGAGCAAACTATACTTTATATATATAGATTTATTGTCTAAAAACTTGGTGTCACCTAGACAGCCTTTAAAATCCTAGTAAAATAACATCAAATCTGGAAGATAAATCGGGTTTCTCTGTGTTTTTGATAATTTCTTACATTTAAAATTTTTTTTTTAATTCTTATTTTTATTTATTTTCTTGTTTCTTAAAAGCTACTCCATATATTTCATAATATGTGTCATTCTAACATTTTTTGTTACCTAAGAAGTATCATTTTAAATCTCCATGTAATTATATTTACTTTTAACTTAAAATTAATTGTAAACTGCTTTAATCTTATAAATAATATTATTTATCTCAATAATATTTCTCAAATAAGTATAATTAATAATAATTTAAAAACATTTCAATTACGTTATTAATATGTGTAAAAAATGTCAAAGTGACACTTATTAAAAAACATAAGGAATAATTGTTTTGTTTGTCAAACATTCCAAGGTTTTTCTCTGTTAATTTTTCTGTTTTACATACGGTTATATTAATTTAGGGTCCTAAATTTTTCTTCTGAATAAAAAGCAATTGTTTTTTTAATAAATAAAAAATATTTTTTATGCAGAAGAAAGATTTAGAACCCTAATTCAATATCATTGTTGACAATTAAAAAATGGCAGGCTCAGTGAGAAACGATTAAATTTTATGAATCTAGCTTATTTACTCAGGAAAAATTACTAGCTAAATGTTTGATCAAAATCTGTTTTATTACCTTTGCATTTCAGATTACCATTATTCATTGTTTTTCAATAGAAGACTATTGAAAAATTCTCTCGTGCCTGACAAGAAATCCTGGTACACATTATAACGCGATTAAGAAAGCTAACTCTTCGCCCACAATGTTGATTGGCTCGTTCTTACTTGGTTCTTTTTCCCCCTTCTACATTAAATACAATCTATTACTAGTAAATAACATTTTTGCAACAAATAATAAGACACACGAAAATTACAACCAGCTCTTTTCTAGACGTTGAATCAGTTTTATGAAGACAATAGGTAATTGGTCGATCTAATGCTAAATCTTCAGTGTCATTTTCAATTTAGCTTTGAATTACATGCAACAAATAAATGGTTTGTAACGGTAAACCATTAGACTAGACTAGTAAAGCTTTACAAATGAGCAACCAAAAAAGGAATAAAATATTTTAACCATATAGTATACTCAAATATACGATATGTAAATCTACTTGCACAACCATTTGTCTTTAAGAGAAATCGACTTTTCACTTGCGGTGCCATATTGATATGACTCAGTATTGGTACATAAACTTCCGTTCAGTTTCCTATTCCCATATTATAATAATTAAAATCTATATGTCATACAGTTTTCTTTGAAAAATCCTTATAACATAAGGCTGCAGCCGACATTACCTTAGTCTATATAAGACCCATACTTTTGAAATTCAAGAATACCTCAAAAAGCATACACACAACACATAAAACGTGGAAAACCATATTGTTGACATGGCAAAGTATAAAGACGGTTCGCTACTTAACCGGTTGAGACAAGCCGTCAGCAAAGTGAAATTCGTGTTGAGTTTCAAGATAAACAGCCTTTGGGGTCTCGTACCAATGCTTGGTTCTTCTTCTTCTTCCTCATCTCTTCGGTTTAGTTTCAGTGATAGAGCAGGTTTAGCTGCGGGCTTGTGCAGAGGAGAATGAACGGGACTCAACAGGTTCTTCAAGAGGAGCGTTATATAGAGCCGGGAGACGTTATGATCCATCTTCAGAAGAAGACATAGACAACAAAGCTGAGATGTTCATAGCTAATTTCTACAAGCAGCTTAAGATTGAGAGACAAATCTCTTTGGAACTTAAATATTGCTTGGGTAATAATCAAAGTTTCAACTATAGGTCGCCTTAGTTTCATACTTTTATTTATTCTTTTGTTCAATTATTGTAATAAAATTTATCTGGGGTCGTAGTTGATGATCGGCCTGCTATTTTTTTCGCGGTAGGCTTAACCATTTCATTATCATTAGCGAGTCACGTTTATTTATTTACATTTTATAATTTACGAATGTAATTGTAATATTCCGAGTTGTGATATATGAAAAGGTTTAAGAGAATCGAATTGGCTATCTATGTCACCAAAGTTGACTTATTTTTTCTGTTACACATCCGTGTAAAACTCCAGAATTAAGCATGTTTGGGCTAGAGTAGTGAAATGATGGGTGATTTATCAGAAAGTGATACGCGATACCGAGTAAATGAGACCAAAACTTGGGAAAAGGTCATGTGGTGATTGCTGGGTCAGTAAACAATGCTTTTAAGTCTTTGGAAAATTAACGGACCGACCATTGTAACGAGATGGGATCCATGGTCCGAGAAAGTGGGTAGCCCATTTACCATGGACGGATCGGAGCATTACAAGTGGTTTCAGATCTGGTTAATCGTCCTGGTTCTGACCTGAGAGGCATCTTGAGATCTGTCGTGGGGCGCAACGAGGATATTACGTGTTTTGAGAGAGGGTGGATTGTAACATCTCAAATTGTGATATATGAAAATGTTTAAGAGAACTGACTTGGCTACCTACCTTTTCTGTCACACATTCGTTTAGAACTCCAAAATTAAACGTGCTAAGACTGATAGTAAAAGGATGGATGACTTATCGGAAAGTGATTTGGGATATCGTGTAAGTGATGCCAAAACACGAAAAAATGTTATATATACTTTAGTCACATTAGATAATTCCATAAAAATATTAAAGAAAGAATTGAAATATTAATAATTAATTTAAAATTAATTTAATAAAAACTTATTATATATCTAGATGGACTAACCTTTTCTCTAAGAATTTTGAGAATTAATGTAGTAATGAACATGGTTATCTCAAATGTTGTAATGATTTTTTTTATATATATAGGGAATTCAGATTAACAATGCATGATATATTTAAATCTAAGTTGTACCAAACATTTTCAAGTTTTGTTCATATAACTTAGAGCACCCGATACACGGATCATATTTTAATGTACCAAAATCAAGTTTCTTGCACCGACCAGATCCTCACTTTTTAAAAGAATACTAGCTCGTGAAGCGCGGGGTTTTTATTTTATTTTTAATATGCAATTATATTTGTAAGTATAAAATATACTCTTGAAATCATTAAACAAAATAGCTAAATACAAAGTATGAAGTGATTCATAAAGATCCACACGGGCGACGGCCATAGTATGATCTGAAGAAGTCAACGCATGAATTAACTATGTAGAGAGGAAGTGGCAAGATGAGACTGTTGCGGGACACGAAATTCGAAGCCGACCACGTTCTGAAATTGTCTTTCACCGAATCTAAATTTGACTCCAATCACCCCACCCAACTTTCAGTTTTCCAAGCAAAATGCTTATATGTATATTATTAATTTCAAACATGAAAATCTTTCTTTACCTTAACACTCCTGGCTGCTAACATCCACCACCTTTACTTCTAACTAGATCTCATATAGTACAAAGGACCTTTCAAGTTAAATAATTAGTCTAATTTGACTTATTTTTGTTGAAAGATTGTAGGCAATTAATATGATAATTCCCAGCAGAACCAAGATTTAAATATTCCAATGCAATTAAGAACGAGTAGCCTTATGCTACTCATGGAGGTTATAAATTGGAATATAAATCTTTTCATCTATTTGTTGATTATTGACCAACTATATATTAGGCTGAATGCATGACTTTAATATATCTAAAGAAAAAGTACTTTTCATGAGTAAATCAGAATCTATTATCATATTAATATTGGCATGTTAAATGGTGTGAAAACTGAAGCCCTACACTTGCTTCATTTACAAACTCTGCTTTGAACCTCACGTTCCTTAAGCTTCTCTAAAGCTCTCTGTTTTACCATTCCCCATAACAAAACAAAAACCCTAAATACGTTTCAAGGTATATTTAGTTTCTTATTATTCTTCATCGTCTCTTTCCACATCTCAAGCTCCATTGAAGCAAGAAGATGAGATATACTCCAAGATCGCAAGGGAAAAAACTCATCGTCCCTTCCTTCTTCTTCATCATAGCTATCTGTGTACTAGCTTTCATCAACGAGCTCAGATTCGACAGTTTACTGAGTTTCGGACGATGTGCTTTGTCGAATGTTCCGACCAATAACGATTCATTGGTGACTCCATTGTTGTCTTCCTCTTCTTCTTCAAGTGATGATGAGATTAGGATTCTTATTGGCATTCTAACACTTCCAGATCAGTACCCACGTCGACATTTTCTCCGGATGATCTATGGCACACAGGCTATCCCTGACGGCGTTAAGATCGACGTGAAGTTCGTGTTCTGTAATTTGACTAAAGAAGACCAGAAAGTGCTTGTCGCTTTGGAGATCATGCGTTATGATGACATCATCATTTTAAATTGCAACGAGAATATGAACAAAGGTAACTGGTTTAATGTCAAGTACCGTTCGGTTTGACTTGAATTTGATTTATTTAGTTCGGTTAGAGAACGAATGTTCGACCAATAAAGAGTTGGTTTTGATTTGGGATAATCATAAAATCAATTGGTAAAATAATTGAATCCAAAACCATTGTTGAGTATGGTTCAATTCAGTTTGACATAGTTTCAATTTTTACAAAAAAAAAGCTAGAGTTTGTTTATCTTACGGTTTTGGCCTAGACATTTAGGTTACAAATATTTTTCATATTGATTTTGTTTCACATTTTTCATACTTTAGTTTGATTTGGACTAAGCTTAACCGAATTGGACTAGTAACATTTGTAACTAATTTAATTCTTCAATCCACAGGCAAGACATACACATACTTCTCAAGCTTACCAGACCTATTCAACGAAACCGATTCACCAAACCCACCATACCATTACATAATGAAAGCCGACGACGACACATACATAAGACTCGAAAGCCTCGTAACATCTTTAAGACCATTACCTCGAGAAGATCTCTACTACGGCTACGTCATTCCATGTCAAAGCATGGACCCGTTCGTGCATTACATGTCAGGAATGGGTTACTTAGTCTCGTGGGACATCGCGGTCTGGCTCAAAGACTCGGATATTCCCAAGAAACATCTAGAAGGTCCTGAAGACAAAGTGTTTGGCGACTGGATGAAAGAAGGAAGACGAGGAAAAAACCGGTTTAATGCTAAATGGTCGATATATAATTTCCCCGAGCCACCGACTAAATGCACACATGAACTTTGGCCTAATACTATTGCGGTTCATTTGTTGAAGAACCAAGAAAAGTGGATACGGACATTGACCTACTTCAATGTTACTAGCAATCTTAAGCCTTCTAAATTATACCACATTCCGTAGATCGTTTTTGGTTTGCTTTGCTTTCATTTGATTAGTATAATTTATACTTAAAGTTTTGTTTTAATTTTTTTTGTTGTGATCGTTAATGTTTCTTAATAATCATTTGTGTAAATAAGTATTTCATACAGGCTCAATAATCAATAGAGTACTTGTCGTCCGTAAAGGCATAAAGCAATGTTCAACATCAATATTCTTTGTCGTCTGTCATCTATAATCAGTTACAAAAGACTATCATTGAACTTGGTTCTAAAGTTGGTCGACCGTAGTATTATTTTCATAGTTAGGATTTTATCTGTCAAATCAAATAGAGTTTAAAATTCCATTTGATTTGATGGATGGATAATTTAGTGCTTATAACTCACCCAATATCATCTAGAAAATGGTTAAAATCAATAAATCATGTCATTCTCAAATATTATAGATGTGAGTGTGACTGTATATACCAAATAGCGATATAATTGGGAGAATTTCAATTATACCAATTTAGTGGTACCACTTTTGATGTTTACCATCAAGAAATGAACATTTTCAAAAATACATATTTTATTAAAGGATAAAAGACTCTTATATCCTTGTTCTTTATATATTTACATAAAATAAATATTAAATAAAATATTAACCCGAAACCCTAAAACATCAATTCTAAACTCTAGACCCTAAAAATTAAACCCTAAACCCTAAAAATCAACCCTAAACCCTAAAATATCAATTCTAAACCTTAAACCCTAAACTCTAAACTCTAAAAAGTAAGTTCTAAACCCTAAACTATCAATCCTAAATCCAAAACCCTAAACCCTAAATTCTAATAGTATTTTGAGTATTAAAATTTTAATGGTAAAGTTGGTTAGTGTAAAATTGAAAAGTGGTATCTTGAAAATGTTATTTCTGGCAATTTCCCGATATAATTTGGGTGAAAAAATAAATTACTTTTGTTTCAGCTACTTTTATGTCAATCAAGTAAAAAATATTTTACTATTTTTAAAATTTTTCACACTAGTTACTGTTCAAAGAAAAGTAAAATATGTGTTTCTCTCACGATTCGAAAATTGAAAACAGTTGCGCTAGATATCACTTTTCATTTATTTTATTTACTTTTGACTTTTTCCTCTCAGTTCCTCTATTTTAATTTACTTTCAATTATTTTACTAAGTTTTTCCCCGCACATGCGGACTTAACAATTTTATAATTATTTATTATTAATAAATATATTACTAACTAAAATACTATAAAGAAAAATTATTATTTATATTTTCATTAGAAAATTCTTATATGCTATAATTTGTTTTGAAAAAAAATATTTTAATACATTTATTAATAGTAAATAAAGAAAAAATAATAATTCAATATTATTTTCAAATATATAAAATTAAGAATTTTTTATTAATATTAATTTATGTATTTTCTGTTTATGAATTTTTGAATTTTAATTTTTTATAAAGGATATTTTTGGATACATTACTAACTAAAATACTATAATGATAAATTCTTATTTTATTTTCATTAGAAAATTCTTATATGCTTTAATTTGTTTTGAAAAAAATATTTTAATATATTTATTATTAGTAAATAAACCAAAACAATAA